ATAGTAGTGAGAGAACCAAGCTCAAGCTGCAACCTGGTTTATACAATACCCCAGCTTAGGAATTAGTGCAAGTAAGGTATTTATCTTCCCTGCAGTGCTTGGCAGCATCTTAAAATCCTGTTAAATGCCTGTGTCTTTACTTTGTTGTATTGCTTGAAAAATACCTGGTCTTGCCTGTAAAGCTAGACCTATTTCAAGAGTGATATACCTCTAAACAAGAAGTGCCTTAGTGGGGACGGTTGTGAGGGAGGCTGGAAGCTGCTTCTGCTGAATCGAACCACGCTGGCTCTCACGTGGCCTTTGCTAGCCTCATTTAGATACCATCTTTAAGTCAGGACTATAATCAGCTGGGCCATCTCTATAAGCTGGTGTGCATGTGGATCCATAGTGAGGCTTGGGTGAGGTGTGTGGGAGACCAGAGACCGTAGCTACTGTGAAAAATGTTGCTACTGCAGCCAAATTCTTGAATAATGCCTGCTTTTCTGTTTATCCTTACTCTCCCATCAGTGAAATTACCTGTCATAGCTTCTCAGGACTAATAAAAAGCAGTAAGCTTTACTAGATAGCACAGCTGAGGATTTCCTGAGCAGTGATTTCTCCAACAGGCATCCCCTCCTGCGTGTTCTCAGTTGCCTGCAAGAGTCTGACCAGAGGGTTTTGCTTCATTTTTTTGGATGTATTTCCAAGGTCACAAGGATTTTCACACCTTTTACTGCTGGCTGCTCAATGGCAGGTAAAGGATGTTGTAGCTAATGGGAACACAGATTGGAGCTAATTATAGAGTGATTGACTTGCCATGGACTTAATTGCTTATTAGAAGTCACACTGATCTCTGAAATGAAGTCTCTGAATCTTTTATCATACGAAGAAATATCCACCATCTGAAGGATAAACCCGCAAAGCTCATTCAGATACAAGACATGGGTATTTGCACACATCTTGCAGTATAAAATATGCAGTAATTCAACACCACTGCTTGGAAGCCAAATGTAGCTGCTCAGGTGGGAATGTCAGCACATGAATTTAAACCAGAGCAGCTCTGGAGCTCTATGGTCTTGCCAAGGACCAGCATCAAGTCACAGTGTGAGCCAGCTACTGCTAAGTACTCACATATGGGGCAAATAGATTCTGTGTTTTCATGAATCTCCCCTCGTGTTAAGCAACTCTGCAAGTTCTCCTTTCATTACAGGGCACCAGCTCAAACCACCTTCCCTTGCTGCCTTGCAGCACATGCTGCTTGCTGAGCGCTCTCCAAGGCAGCGACCGCACACTGGTGTCACCAGAAGCAGCTACAGAAGGCAACACAGAATCAGGGTACTTGCTTTTTATAGAGCTTTTCATGCTAGGGCTTTGCCTAGTTTCAGGACCTTCAGTTTCCTTCCCCATTGTTCTTGCCCGCAGGCACCAGCTGTGTCCGTTGCCTTTTCCACCTGCACCTCCTTTTTCTTGAAGTGGCTCTTTCAGGCTAGGCTCAGCACAGGCCAGAGCTACTCCAGCAAGCACTGATGGGACTTGTCCTGCCTGCATTGCAGTCCTGCTTCAGGAAGGTGTGAAGTTTGCCGGGTACTGCTGTGGAGTTAAAAAAGCATCTTTGTTTTTCCTCTCCCAATCATCTCTGTTCATATCAGCCTTCTCACTGCTGACACGGCAACCTGCTTCTCCGACAGCCCCACTGTCCTGAGCCTCCCATGGGAGCCCAGCACTGACTGATATTCAGAGACAGATTCTGCAGGGCTGCCTGGCAGTTAGGCTGCCCTCTCCCACCATGCAGACATAGGGGTATGTACTTGCTATTCCCCTGCTGCATGTCACAGCTGAACATCTGAGTGCACGTCTAAACTGAGAGCAGCTCGAGGCAGTGCTCTTGGGAACTGCAGCAGCTCAGGAGCAGAAATGTGGCAGCCCACCCCAAGGTGCAGACCCTGCTCTCTGCTCCCACCTGCCTGTTCGATATCTTGCACCAAGTCAGGACTGTGCTCCACAGGATCCCTCTGTGGCCTGTGGCTTTGGACATCAGCCCTGCTTGCTCTCGCTTCCCCTTCAGCAGGCTCCAGCTAGCTCCTCTGTCATTATTTCTCTGTTCCTCAATTCATACTCTGTCAAAAGCAGCAGGAGACAAAGCCATGCCAAAGGGGACAGTCCTTGTACATCACACAGTACAAACCTGGAGCTGTGGATAACACAGTTTCCCCTTTAAAAAAATACTCCTGGGCCTGAATGGGAGCTCTTTCCACTCTGACGTGTTAGCGCAATGAATTCCCTGTACTGAGACTCTGCTCACAGCCTTGAGACAAGGCACAAAGGGAGTGCAAATAAATGAACAATACGGTGAAAGAAACAAAGGGCAGAATAAAAGCAAGCAATACATAAAAACAAAAATGGAGAAACAATCTCCAAAAAAGGGAGAACCAAGCCTGCAGTGCTTAAAGCTGTGCCATACGAAAACCACCATGCAAAATGATGCAGAATTTCTGCAATAACCGGGCTGGCAGAAAGCCTATGGGGAGCTCAGTCAGAAGAGCATGCTGACTTCATGAGCAAGGACAGAGCTGGCAATTAAAGCACAAGTGCTGCATGATTTTCACATTGGCCTAGTGCATCCCATCCCATGGGATCCCTCAGGGTTTTACAAGGTCTTTCCCTGCTCCTGAAATACAGTCGTATTTGGGCTAACAACTTAGCAGTGTACAGCAGCAGCATACAAGTGAAGAAAAAAGAGATTTTTGCTGTCGTAGGGGTCCTCACTTCTTCTGCTTCTGCAAAAGCTCCCCTCAAAACAAATATCCCTCATGCCAGCAACTACACAAGACCAGCTCCTTTTACAGAAACAAAGAGCCATGGGGAATCTTTTACCCCAGGGTCTTCAGGCTTGTGGGGGAAAAAACAAACAAACAAACAAGCAAACAAAAGGGTAAGACATGTATCAAAGAGCCAGGTGCACAGGTCGTTGTATTGGAGGCTGGCAGGAACAGATACAGAACTGTGTTCCCTCCACAAACGATTCTCTCAACTTCTCTTTGGTGTCTTTTCAGAGCAGAGACACTCTACTGGGTTCTCACAGACAAAACATTTAATACACCAAAGCTTCAAATCTCAGAGCTCTGTAAAACAGAGCTTTTGCTTGGTTGTAACTATCCGCCTAGCATAACACCTAGTGCATGACGTGGCCAACTATATCCACTGAATGCTACCTTCTTGCTCCCACATGAGGTGTGCTATGGGATGGGGAACCAGAGGTCCCTGATCTGCCTCACAGCTATTTCAAAGTGTCTTAAACTTCTCAACCTGGGCTGCTGCATGTTTCAAGCCCTTCACTTGCACTAGATCTAGGGATTACTGACAGGCAAGTTTTTGGCCAGATCAGCAGGGTGATCCAGCTTACTGCGTGACCCAAAGTGCATAGCACAGGGTGTGTGAGTGCGATGGTGACTGCCCCCAGTACCGCAGTGCGGGGTACAAAAGCTCATGAGAGCTGTGAACTTACAGCCAAATTGAGGGACACACTTAAAGAGGGCTGCCTGAGTTGTTGGTTGTTTTTTTGTTTGTTTGTTTGTTTTTTCCTTTACAAACAGATTTCTGTGACACAAAATGCTTGTATAAGATCTTTCTGCCCAACCTGTTTGCTTTTTCCCTTCCTCCTTTTTCTCTCCTGGCTGTAATTATCTGTCAAGTCTTGGTGCATATTTTCTGCTCATCTGTCTTTTAAAAATGCAGAAGTCAAGGCTTCTAGAAGATAGGCAGGAGCTCATTTCCCTCTTTTGCTCTGGTTAAACTGAGACATCAGTGATGCTAAACTTGATTTAAAGAGCCTCGATGCTCCTCACCTTTATCCATGCATTCACGCTCCTGCACCACGCTCTTCCTTGACCCTAGTGTTCATGCAGCTGCCTGCTGAATTAGCTCAGGGTGAGAAATAACCTTCCCTTCAAAACAGTTATCTGGTTCACAGCATTACGACACGAACACTTGTGCCAGCACCACACACGGGACAAGTGAGCTGGGGGAGAATGACAACAAACTATCACGGAGTGGGAGATTTATAACATTTACACTGGTAACTGCAAATTATAGCTTTATTGCTGTCAAAAGTCTCAGCCTGCTAGACTAAAATTGCTCAGCCCACCATACACTGAACGGGGTCAGAAGCTTAACCCATAGCTGTGAGTCTCATCTCCACCTTCTTGCAATTAGACCACCACCAAGTATCTGCAACTTAACTCCCTCACCTCCCTCCGCCTGCTTCTCAAAATGTGCAGTTCTTACACAAAATTCTTACACAATCCAGGTCTCTCCTTCCCAAGCTGGAGCTGATGCTCTAAGTCTAACCATGACCTGCAATAGTCCTTGTTTATTACTTTCTGCCTAGCAAATCTTGCAGGGTAAGAACAGAGATTTCTGCTCTTCAAGGACATTTCTCTGCATTGTATCCGTAAGGATCTCAAAACACTTTACAAACATCTTTTAGCAATGACTCATGGCACCTCCTTTCATTGCTGTTTAGTGCTGAAATGGAGGCTGTGGTTTGTCAATGTGAAGAATGCGGTGGCAGCAAGGTCTGCAGTGCCTGCCGCTTCTGCACCTTCCTCACTCATCCCTTGTGCCACCTTCACCTCCCAGAAGGCCGACCCTCAGTTGTGCACTGCTCCATGAACCAGATGGTGTGACTGCTCCAAACAAACCTCACAATGTCTTTTTTTTTTTTTTAAGGTATATTTTATAGTCTCAGCAGCTAACAGACTGATAATACTGCTGGGCAAACACTGACTGATGAATGCGGCAGTGACACAGGAGCAGGAATGAGTTTTGGAGGAAGGAGAAAGGGAAGGAGAAGATGATGTTGGGAAGTGAAAGAGCAGCACCTGAAACCAGTGTTGCCAAAGAAAACTCTATGCCATCAAGGCACCACCCCAGGCACATATGAATTGAATGACTTATCCACTGAAAAGAGTAAGTTATTGGCAGAGAAAGCATTATTTTAAGAGATGCTGACACCTCCTTACCCCTTCTCTCAACTCCACGCATGCCTCTGCTCTGCTGTCCCTGTTTGAAATTGCAAGGAGAAGGTAACTAGTTCAACCTGAGACTGTCCCACCCAGGTTTACTATCAATGGCTGGCAGCTGGTAAAGTTTCTGGACTTCTACTTTTTAAGAGAAAAGAAAGAGCTACATCCAAATGCCAGAGCCAGGCCTTGCTCTTAAAGGTTGCATGCTCATACACATCCAACTGGTTCGTTTCTGCCATCCTCCCTTCCTTCCTTCTCTTTGTCCCTGCTATCACAAGGAAAATGCACTGGTTTAATTTAAAACTGAAAAAAATAAACTTGTAAGTAAGTTTTAAAGATGAGTTTCAAACAGGAGCAAAGGACTGGTTAACCACCCCTTAGACTTCAGAAGGCTCTTTTGGTTTAGCTTGAGCTGTTCTTCAGTTCCTAAACCAGAGCAAAGCCTTGCCTACGAGGGAAACTTGGTAGTGCAGAGTGCTCCCTGCGTGCAAGGTCAGCAGCGTGCTTAGGGGCAGCAGGGTCACAGCTCTGACCCAGCCTGCTCACAGATCGCTGTGGGAAACATCACCCCTCCGGCCTTTTATGAGATCCAGACAAACCTGCTGTTCACACTTTGTGCATGAGAAAACAGGAAGAGGTTAGGAAGCTGTATTTGTTTGATGCTTTGCAACATGTATGCAACAGCACGGCCTAGCAAATTAGCAAGCAGTTCTGTGTAAATCTATGTAAATATGGTAAACCGTCTCTTGGGCTATATTCTGTGAGCTGACTTTTCTTCTGCTCTGCTGCCACCGTTGAAAGCACGGCTGCAGCTTCCACCTCTGGGGTATCAGGGGCACCAGCCTTCTGGCCACACGACCATCTTTTCCTGCTCTGCCACCCCTCTCCCCCAACACTTTCATCATGAAGTAGCATGCTTGTGTCACACTGGAAGAAAATGGGTTTGGCTGCAACACGGGAAAAATGCTCCCCTCACCCTCCTGGATTCAAAGGGACATGGGCGGCCTCCCAGTCGGCACGGCCTCAGCAGGCGAGAACTAACCGTGCTGTTGCAACACTGAAATGCTGGCAAGAAAAAGAGAGAAATGCCCACTAATAAAGCCCCTACTTACCCTCACAGGCAGGTAGGGGGAATGCTCATCATCCTTTCACACACTTCAGCCATGTGAGACAATCCACCGTGTTACTCCTAGACCTAGACTCCTAGAGCAGCCCGCCCTGCAGACGTAGGCAGCAGGAGATGGAACTAAAGATGTTCAGTATGACCACACAGACTGCCACCAGCTGAATTAAATGGGCATCCTTATTATGAAGGAGTGCTACTAAGCAATCTTGATGGACCATGTGCAAGAATGGGCAGGGATTTCGCAGTGAGTGGGGAAAAAGTGCACTTTGAAGACAAAGAGAGAGAATCAAGGCCCTGTGTAGGCAGGTGCAGGGCTGGGGGTAGGACTCAAGACTGCAGTTACCTTCCTAGAGCAGGAAACCAAAGCAGGCAAACCAGCTACGACCCAGCTTCCTATTTTGTCTATTCTAGAGCACCAGAGAGCCACAACGCCTTCTGCAGCCAGCACCTCTGGTCAACTGTGTTCAGAGTGTGCAGACAGCTGCTATTTCCAGCATCAGGGCTAGCAGCATGATCCGTCCTCCCTGCTCTGATCTCTGTGCAGGGTCACCACCACTCCTCCCACCCCTTCCTTCCCTTTTCTGTCACTGGAGTAGAGCAGATAGCTTCACTTGCTTTGTCGCTGGAACACCTGACACTGCTCTGGAGAGGTGCTGCATTTATTTAAAAGTGCATTCAATTCCCAGCATGAAGCTTTTTGATCTTACTGAGGGCAAGCTCCCATTTAAAAACCAGGTTAGCTGCTCTAGCTCCTAATGGGAAAACAGTTAGGGATGGAGGGAGCAGCCTCATGGCAAGGAAGGCTGCTCATCCCATGCTGGCAGAGGCATGAAAGCAGCTCCACATCCAAGAGCCCAGTAACAAACCAGCTCAGTGTTTGTCCCAGGTTGGCCCCAGCACCTTGCACCTGACACAGTACGTAACTGAATTGCCTTCTGGTGAAAGTAGTCCTCAAGTTCAGATGCAAAACTGGCTCCTAACACAGCTGCGTTATTAATTTGTTGAATGACAAAAAGAACTGCTAAGGAAGCAGGTAATAAAGGAAGCAGTATGTTTCAAAACTTAACAAAAACACTGATATGAGATTTCAATAACTTCCAGTAGGCATCTGTCACAAAAGAAGCTCTGTTTAGAACAGCTCCTCAATGCCAAAACATTTAGTCTCATTACTGTAGATGCTTAAGCAGGCATGGCTTAGGCTGCTTTGTCTCACTGCAGAATTGATCACTGAGGATTACAAATGGAGCAGTAGCAAAGGTTCTGCAAAGGAGGACACAAAAGCTCACTGTTAGAGAGCTCCAGACAAAATACCCAAGTACTGGGTGGAAAACACTCAGAAGCGTAGACTTACGATCATATGACACACAAAAAGAACATCAAGGGCTCAAAAACACGCACTCACAGGTAGGAAATGCCAGGATTAAAACTGCCCATGAAACTTTTGTTCCTTGCTGGAGGTAGGGCACTGGGATATGATCTTCAGCTGCAGGATCACAAGCTGTTTTGTCTGAGGAACCAGTACCACGCTCCGCATGGGGAACTTGAACAGCGACTCCGCAATTATTGATATGCGGCCTTGAGCTACCAGGTCACTGAGTGCTACAAATTTTATCTAGATCAGACGCAAGCACATTTTAACAATCTTTCCAGCCAAATGGCATTTAAGATTCTTTATATTCATATAGGGGACTTACACCAGCTGTGGAAGGACAGACCATACTTGACTCATCGTGAAGTCAGTGCAGCACAGGCAGACTGCATGATATACAATCTGCCAGAACAGAGTGTCCCTTCACTTCTTTAAAAAGCATTTGACACAGCAGAGTAAGTATGTACCGATTCAGCACAGTGCATCCTGCAGCCATGCTACGGTTGCTCTGGCCCAAGAATTGGACTCACCATCTCAGAGAGTCATGGATCAAATAAACAAACATGCTCATTCTTACTGTCCTCATTCCACATCTATCGCCACACCTTGTATCCTGAATACAAGCTGAGTCCTTCACCGAACACTCAGCTATTTTCCCTGTGCATATTTCTCCCCAGTACTCTCAGTACAGTACTACGCTGCACATCACTACAGCACAAAGAGCTGCTTAGCCAACTGACAGGGGCCAGCTCCCAACACTGCTTGTGTCCTGTGGCCACATTACAGCCCCCTAGGTAGCATTACACCGTACTGTGAAAACACACTTTTTCTCTGTTACAACTTTAACGGATATAAGAACAACTCTGAGAGCTAGTGGGGAAAGGATATCAACCCTGTTTTACACATATAGCATTGAATCTCAGAAATCAAAGGCTCTAACTCTTTCTAGCCAGCCAGTTTAAGAACCAAAGAAAGTGTTTGTTCATTCATTCTCTTTTCTTTTGTATCCTTCTCCAACCAATACAATTGTCCTATGAATACCATTTGTAATCTTCCATAAGTGGAATTCCTTAAGAAAAAAAACTATAGCCCATTACAACTGTTCTTATACATTTATCTGGCACAGAACTTCAATCAGCAGCACCTGTCCCTCTGACACAACTCTTTTCTCAGACTAGGATGTTTGTGGGGACGTCTCACAGCTGTGTCAACCTGCGGTCCCAGAAGCAGGTGAAACCATTTGGCACCATGTGGCTGATTGGATTTTCCTTCTCATTTCCCTTCTGCTTTCTATCTCTGCAGCTGAGAGCATTAAACTGATGAGGAGATAAATGTTAGCTTTTGCTTCTTTTGATGTGATTTGTGGCATAGATTTTTCACAGCTTACTGTGGGTGCAGTCCCTGGCACTCACATCTCCATTAGATTGTCCAACTTTTCTTCTCCATGCCTTCCCGTGAACCTGCTGATATGTAACTGCAAATAACAGAGGATACAGCTGCCATCAAAATTCAGCCCTGAGGCTCAGAGAGAAGTCCTGTCTGATGTCTGCAGAAGGAAAAGTAAACAAATCCAAGGGATGCTTAGAGAATTATTAAGTATCCTTGCTAGAAAGGGGATTTACTTAATGGAAACCACAGCTGCTCACTCTTTTCCAGTTTTCATATCAAACTTAAAATGACTCCATAGCAAACAGATGTGAGGACAGAACGTGGTTTACTTCACTCTGGAAGAGGCTGTCTTTTATCTCAACTTTAAGAGGGTACAGGTATCATCCAGTTTTTGCAAATGAGAAGCAGAAGTTTAATAAGAGAGATTACCTGTCTCAGACGTAGACATGGACAAAATGTACCTTCCTGACCTATAAATCTTCTGTATTTATCCTTCTGACACTTATCAAAAGAATTCAAGCTCCATTCATTCTTTGAACTCTAATAGCCTTTAAAAATATCTTATCTTTCAAATCTTCTTCTCAATCCTAAACTGAGATCAATTTAAAAACAAATCTGCCTTTTTTTTCTTGTCTCAGCCCAAGCACACTTTTAACCCAAGAGTAGTTACTGTATTTCCGTGCTCATAAGACCTTTGTCTAGCAGTGTGATAAATCCTCACACCTCCTGGACATTCGTGTTCTCAGGACCTAGTTTTGACTTCCTTTCCTTCTCTCTCTTTTTGCATCATAGACTATCTCCTTTTCTCTGACTTTCGTCTTGGTGGCAAGAGAGGTAGTTCAGAAGACTGCACAGTCACCTTTTATTCTCCCACTTTCTGCAGGCTCTTCTGTGAAGGAAAGCCAAGTCTGATCAGTCACCCAGGCATTGCGATGTCCTTCCTACTGACTTCACGGCTTTACACAGATGGAGTGACATTACAGAGCAAGTAAAGATTCTGGTTCTGACATGTTTTTCCCGTCTTTGACAGCAGTCTTACTCCTCCAACTCCTCTACCTTTTGATGGAGACTAATTCTTTTCTGAATCCCTATTGTCTCAAACAATAGAGTAGAAAAAACTCCAAGCTTTACATTTTCTTCTTTCACATTGTTTGTGCAGGTATTTTTCCCTGGATTCCCAGCATGCTTTCCATTTTTGCTTTGCAATTCCAGACACAGTCTTTTGTGTGGCTTTGTTTAGTTCCTCTATGACTTCCCATAATTAGGGATCTTGCTGGGACCATTAGGAACCAGCAGAACTGGGTAGGCAGTTTCAATTTCTGATCCCTCTCACCCATTAGCTTTTTCGAAAAGGTTGATCCAGGCTACAAATAATCTCATGTCCTTTTTATAAGCTGTTCTGTGATTTCTTACAAAATTGCTGCATGCAGTAGAATTGCTACTGTACTCTGCTTCAGAACTGATTACACCTTTGTGTTATGTAAGCTCGGATATATAACCCAAAGCTTTTAGCAGTAAAGTGTGCCTATCTAAAGGCCACTATTAACCTTTGAAATTTAAAGAGTTAATGCATTTGTTCCAATGTCTGTTCTAATGCAAAGGGTCAATTTACTCTATGTACTTTTATTCTACAGATTTTAAGCAAGTGGTTGACAAGCTTCCTAGGAGAAACTGAGCATCCTCTGTTAAAGTCCTGTCTCCTTAAAGAAAGGCTGGAACTTGGGAGATGCAGGACCAGCTCCCTGAGTTGCCCAGGTTTTCAGAGTATCCTTGGATAAACCACTTAATATCCTTGTCATCCAGTTTCCCATGAGTCATATGGATGCAGTAACAACCTCTTTCCTCAGAAGGCAGTTGGTGAAGGTATTTATAACAGTAAAGTGGTGAAGTGATGACGGTGCTAAAGGACTGGGAATGACTGGTGAAAGGGGAGCAAGGGAATGCTCCATGTCTCATCCTAAAATGACAGAAGTGAGGCAGAGCCCAAAGGACACATGACGTGTGCCTATGACTAATGTGTCTGTGCCCAATACACTAAAAACTAAACGAAAGGCCCCAGGAATGCTTGGCATTTTCTCATTCATTGTTATCTAGCTCTCTCTTATCCTCTTTAGTGTTTCCATGTCATTGCCTGAAAACTCAGAACACACAAACATTACCTCTTCATCCAAACCGAAAGTAAACAGACCCTTTCACCAGCTGGAGCTTGTGGCAGCAGCAAAAGTAGTTTTTAACTCAGAGTTGTCCCTGGTGAAGGATTTTCCTGAAACTGCTCCACGATGAATGGACAATTGTAGTGTTCTACTCCTCTTGCTTCTTTTCTCTTCTGTGTTTGTAAAGATCTCTACTGGAAAGACATTACTACTGTTATTATTAGTGAAGTATTCCTAGCAGTGTGCCAAGTATGTTAAGCATCTTTCAGACATAAATATTCATTCAGCAAGGTCCATTCTTACATTTCCAACTGAGCCAATGGCAGAGCAACCCCTCCTTCGAGGAGCTCACTGCCAATGAGCACATATACTCTCAGCAGGAGCGAGGAGTTGTGAGAGTAAGATGAAGCTGACCATAGAACCCTTTAGCATAAGCGACGCTAAACGGAAAAGCAGGGTTGCAAGCCTCCTTCATAGCTTGAGCTCCAGACAGCCTTTCAGCATTAACAGTGGTAATGCAGAATGTAATTACAATCAATCGGTGCTGGAAAAAGCTGCACTCTGCAGATGATGATAAGCAAAGCTAGCATGTTCCATCACGCAGCTGCAGGGATTGTGCTCAGTGTCATCACCTTCAGGGCCCTCTGTGGTCTCCGTCTAGCCCAGGTCTTTGCTCTCTTTTCTCTTCTGCGTGCCCTTAAACTCTTCCTGATGCTTATGACAGTCGTTTATTTTTGCCTCTTACACAAATGCTTCCAGACAGACTGCTAGTCTGATGGGTCTTGAACTTCAGTCCTCGATCCAATCTTGTTTCATGGGAACAGCGTGTTCCCTCCTCAAGGAGAAAGAAGAGGAGCTGGGTCCTTCTTATTATGGCAAACAAAATAGCTGTTGCAAACCTTCAAAACTTGGGATTGTCAACTGTGTTTCTTCAAACTGGAGTGGGCAATGCAAGCAGCTACTTTACCGAGCAGATGGTAAGTGCTGCACAAGAGCTAGGCATTATTCAATAATCTATTCCTAGGTGAAAATCCTAAGACACCAGTGAAAAATAAAAAGCAAGGAAATGCTGAATTTCTATGCCAAAGAGCACTGAAGTATTGTTTCAGAATTTCAGATGAACTCCTAGATCCAGTGTTAATATTTGGGAACATTCTTGCTATTGGAAATGCATGTCTGCCCTGAACCTTAGTGCTACAAAGCCTCTGCTTTCATATGTGGTATAGTCCTCCACTTAAAAGAAAAATCAGGAAAAAAGCCTGGAAATTAAAGTTTTCAAAATGTTGAACGTTCACCAGTATTGAACTGTATGAGCTGATGCCTCCTGACCATACATTACTTTAATCAGGGCCCGTCAACCCCATGAACCATGAC